GTACTTTCTATTTCTTTTATTATTTACTTATTTCTAAGTACTTAGTATGGCTTGGCTGCGCATAATCACCATGTACCTATATTTCATTCAGGCGATAGTTATTACGGACGGAGAGAGGATCTTAGGTCTTGGTGATCTAGGCTCTAATGGAATGAGTGTTCCTGTCGGAAAAGTCTCTCTTTACACTGCCTTAGCTGGTATCAGACCTCATTACTGCCTTCCAATCACCGTGGATGTTGGCACCAACAACACAAATTTGCTACAGGTTTGTCGCTCACCATTTTTAAAGGCCCATTTCATTGGCAAATATAAATAGATTATTTCATTAGTTTATTGTATGTATCTTATTAGAATGACTACTATCCTGGCCTTCAACATGAGCGAGTCACTGGAGAAGAATATGATGCGTTCATGGACGAGGTTATGGAGGCCATTGCTATATGGTAATCATTTTTCAAATATTTTTCCTTTTATTTCGCATTATTTATATATATTTATCATTTTACAGCTATGGGCCTAATGTATGTATACATTTTGAAGATTTTGCTACAGACAATGCCTTTCGACTCCTGAATAAATATCGTAACCAGTATATTACATTTAATGGCGATATCCAAGGTAAATGAGTTTAATTATACATATATATATATATATATATATATAGCATTTGGGGGCTATACTTGATATATTTTTTTGATTTTTCTCTTCAGCCTCTGGCGCAACAATTCTTGCTGGGATACTTGCCAGCTCTGGCCTCACGAATATAAAGTTCCCTAACAATACTTTTCTTATACACGGTTCTGGCCAAGTGAATTATTTTTATCTTATTCAATTACTAGTTATTTTTTTATTATGACGCATTTTCTAAATATTAATAATTTTGATAGGGTGCTCTTGGCATTGCTCATTTTTTGACGCAAGAACTTATCCAGGATTATGGATTTTCTGAAGAAGAAGCCCTGAAGAAGATTTATTTAATGGATTCCTCCGGCCTGGTTGTGAAGGTAATGCAATTTTTTGTTTTCATTTTATGACAGTTCATTTTTTATCGTTTTTTTAAAAATTAATACCTTGGCATATATTTTATACTTGCCGACCTCTGATCATAAACATGGTCGAAATTCTTTGGAATATTTTATGCTTGATTATTTATGAAACTATTTGCTTCAAGTGTAACTGCTCCTATTTTTGAATGTGTTACTACTCAGGATCGAGTTAAAAATAAGGCTGAAGGACTCAAAGCGCTGTACGCACGTTCGGACTTAGGGCCGATGAATTACTTGAATGAAGTTGTTCGCGCTGTTCGGCCAACTGTTCTAATTGGTAGGTAAAACCTGTCTTACTATTTGTCCACTATTTAACGGAATTTAGTTTATTTACATATTTTCACGTTACCATGCTTCTGATTTTTTTAAACAATATACCACATATTATCCTCACCCTTAGTATTTTTTATTTTGTGCTTTTTTCGTGGCCACCGCAGATACCTCATTTGCGCAATTTGGTCATATTTTCAGGATTTATTAAATGAACGCATCTTGTTAAAAAGTCCTCTTCCATAGTAGTCATGCTCTCTAGAGCCCTTGTTAACTTTGGAGAAATGTAATCCTTTCTTCAGGATTTGCAGTCATTTGGGAATTAAGACGAACCGAAGCTAAATTTACCTCTTTATTACCATCGTCATGTAGATCCTTGTAATTTTGTCTATAGCGCTAAAGCGATATCAGCAGGTCTTCAAAACCTTGCTTGTTGTCCCTGCAATATGCATGTTATCAACGCTCTTAGCAGACCATAAGGTAAACCGATGGAATAGTGAGATCAGTCAGTAAGAAACTGATCTTCCAAGGCAAGTGGATCATTTGGATTGGAGATAAATTAAGTCGCTTGCATACTGGAAGCTCCAAGTCGGGTCAGCAATTCTTGCACGTCGACATGGCAGAGGATTGTAAAGTAGGCTAACAAGTGTGGTAAAGCCTCATTTAACCTCTAAAGTAGTCCACTATAAACTAGTTAAAAATTGTGATAAATGGTGTGAAATACCAGAATAGGTTTTATAGGGCTGAATACAGACGCTTTGTAGCTTGGTGCTAAAACTAGTCAGTCTCATTGACGATGCTGGCAAAACGTCTCGGAATGTACCGAATCCATGTTCCGACGTTGCAAATGATCATGCCTAGTATGGCAGTAGACTTGGGACGAGTTGTGTTCATCTTGGTTACTGATATCACGACCAAGTCGTAATTTAACTAACTAGGTTCTTAAAGTGCGTTTACGAAACTTCGATTTTTATTTATTTGCTAAAAATCGCCTTTCACTCATAGGTGTGTCTGCTCAACCAGGAGCATTCTCGCGAGAGATTCTTCGCGAAATGGGAGCAATAAATAAGCGACCTCTGATTTTTGCAATGAGTAATCCTACCGATAGAGCTGAATGTACCGCTGAAATGGCTTACAAAGCAACTGAGGTTATTCCTTTCTACTCTACTATGTTTATTTTTCCTACATACTATGCTTACTCCATGTTTATTGCTTTTACGAACTTACGAAGGTAATAAACTTAATTTTATCCTCTTTACATATAATTGCGAAATCAGTCATGATTTTAGTCCATTTTATTTTTCCAGCCCTTTATTTTCATGTTACATTGTTTATGCTTGACGTGCTTTCCCGCAGTCATTTTACAATATGTTTGATTCGAATTTATTCCGCCATCCTTTGCTTCCAACCTAAAATACTATGGGAGAAATCACCACAAGTTATTATCCCAATGACCATATTTGTTTTCAGTTTCCAAAATAGTCCAAACTTTGAATACAGTTGGAGCTCAGTCTAGTTTAAATGTATGCAATTTGATCGACATAACGCTACTCCAATCACTTATTATTACATATTTACTAAAAAAAGAACTTATGATTTTTCACGATTTATAATTCTCGAAATTGAGGATTATCATCCAGATACCTATTTTTAATTCTTTTTCTTATAAACTAGTATACATCTTTCTTTTTCTCCTTCAATATTCCCCAATGCTTCTACGCTCTGTTCTGTTTATATGCATACTAATCTCAGTTGTTTATCTTCTAATATCAAAGATGATTCATTGAATAATTAATTAGCGAATGAAGATTATTCCACACTTTATCTCATCGTCTTATCCATTTTTGTCGTACAAAAAATTGCGAGATTGTTTTTCCCCTATATCTGTTTAGACTAGAAGTAAAGTGTAACCAGTTTCTTTACCTTTATACGTTGCTCTTCCATATCTCCTTCATCCCCTCGAATTTCACACTTATCGCTTAAAAGTTAAATTTTGAAAATTATTATGAACACTGACATTTGCCAGTTACGCTTTCATGATATCCATTTGTTTTGAACTATTGTAAACTCCAAAATTGAATTTCCATTGAATGACTTAGCTCATTTTTCCCACGATACCGTGAATACGTCTCGGGGCAATATTTCACAGGTTGCATAGGTTGCATAGACTAATGAAATACTGATAACTGAATTTTCGTACAATTATTTGAGTAGACCTCAAGATATATACCTAGTATTGCTTCCATATGATAATATCCCTTATTCGAAATATACTGAGTCTCGGAGGTATATATATATGTATATATTTTTTTTAATCAATTGGCCATTTTATTTTGTATATAAACAGAGTTTCGAGTAAATCATTTATATAAGATGTATTTACCCTATTTCGCTTAAGGTGATGTAGGACGGGTAGTAGAATTCTCCCACAATGATATGAG